ATCGATTACTAGACAGATATTACTAAATTAGCTTATGAAAACTTAAGATATAGAAAACTTCTATTTTCTAGTTAAAATATTTTTGTTTAATCTTTTTGAATACTCTTTTTTGCTTTCTTTTCAAACAACTTATTCTTATATTCAAAAAGATTAAATTTAGGTTTTCTTGAAATCTTTGTTTTAATGGCCAAGTGAAATTTTACAATTTCTAAAAGCTCATTTTACATATTAAGCTTAGTTGTCAAGACTTATCTAGTTAATTCTTGGAATTTTGCTTCTTGATCAACTTGTTTTAACTTGCCCTTTTATTTTCTTCAATACTTTGGCATCATCAAAACTTTGTGCATATTTTCTTCTACATCATATATGCACTAACTTCTGAAAATGAAAAAACTGGAACATAAAAGTGGAGATAGTTATAGACTTTGGTCAGTTTTGAGTTTCAATGGATCAAAAGCTCCTTTTCATTGGAAATAGTGCTCGTGGATGAAAAGGTATATAGTTTTTTTTATTCAAATGTTTTTCTATAAATATTAGAGTTTTCTTAACCATTTTGTTTTTATATTTATTTTTTTGAATGAATAAAAAATGTACGTGTCTGTGAGGAAGACATTGACTTACAAATTTGAAAATATGTTATAAGAAAGAAGAATTTATTATTGGGATAAATTTTTTAAGTCAAATAAAAATTTTCTATTAATCAATATTAAGAACCATTGTCTCAGATTACGAAGTTAAGTTAGTAACACATACCTATATCCATTGACGTTGACCAAAATCGTTGCAACAGAATAGTCTTTGGTGCAATGATCTTCCTCAGCCAAATCACTGTTTGGGTTCCCATTATTAACCCCTAACGGTCAAATCTGCTTTCCACTTATTTGGGTCCATATCAATTGTTCCTATTGGCAGTCTAAAGACTCACTAAAATTATATCATTTTTATTGAGCCCAACTAAATGTAAATAACTAATATAAATACTACAAATAATATATGTAGTCCACATTAATTATTAGAAATAAAATTGGCTAAAAACCTATTTTGGTCCCTTATAATCTTTTTTTGTTTCAATTTAGTCCCTCATTAATTTTTGGTCTCAATTTGGTCCCAAATTAATTAATTGGTTTCAATTTAGTCCCAAATTAATTAATTAGTTTCAATGTGGGACTTCCGTCCAAATTATTTAAACGGAGTTAACTTTTGGCCACGTGAATGCATACGTGGCATCCACGTGGATAAGAATTTTTTTTGAAAACACCTGAAACCGGAACGGCCCGTTCTACAACCGGAACGGGCCGTTCTGAAACCGGAACAGGCCGTTCTGGTTGCAAAATTAAAACACTACCAGTGAAGCAGAACGGGCCGTTCTGAAACCAGAACGGCCCGTTCCAAAACTATGAATAAAATATTCTTTACTTAATTGTGTTTTTGATATTATAATTATGCAATTTTGATCTCTAAGGTTTTAATTGAGTAATTTCAGTCCTTAAAAGATTATAATTGTGTAATTTTAGTCTCACAATTTTTAATTGAACAATTTTAATCTCTCAAATATCATAATTGTGGAATTTTAGTCTTTCTCATTAAAAATTTAATAATTTTAAAATTTTAATATATATATATATATATATATATAATGTTTTAAAACTATATAATTGTTTGTTTATTTAAATTAACGTATATTATTTTTTTTAATGTATCAAATGATATATATTTACTATTACTAAATAAATAAAATTTATATATTATTAGTATTTTAATATTACTGATAAATTAATATCAATAATATTTTTACCCTTTTTATAAATAAACTAATAATTTGATAAATATAACTTAATATATATTAATATACTTTTACAAAAATATAAATATATAAGATCAGATATATATTTCTAATTAATATACTTATATTTTTGTAAAAGTATATTAATATATAACAAGTTATATTTATCAAATTATTAGTTTATCTATAAATATATTAATAATATTATTGATATAATATCGAAAATTATAATATACGTTAATTTGAATAGATAAATAATTATTTAATTTTAAAACATTATATATATATATATATATATATATTAAAATTATTAATTTTTAATGGGAGAAACAAAAATCATACTATTATGATATTTGAGGGACTAAAATTGTTCAATTAAAAATTGAAGGACCAAAATCGCGCAATTGCAATTCTTTAAGGACTAAAATTATGCAATTAAAATCTTGGAGATCACAAAACTGCACAATTGTAATACTTGAGGGATAAAAAATGCAATTAAACCAATATTCTTAATTAATTTTATTAAAAAATATAATAATTAATAAGATAAAAGGAATATCACTTTATAATTTTTTGCAACTTATTTAAGATTAAAGGAATAAAATGATAAAAATTAATAAGATAAACATAATAAAATAAAATATAAAAAAATATTAATATATTTATTTTATTGGATATAATAACATAATTAAAATATAATTAATAATATATATTTTATAAAATTATTAATATTTTATATATAAAAAAATAAAATAAAACCGGAACTGCCCGTTCTAAAACCGGAACGGGCCGTTCTGGTTGCATTTTCGGTGTGTTAATTTTACACCTGGAACGGGCCATTCCGGATGCAAAATTAACACACCAAAAGTGCACCCAGAACGGCCCGTTCCGGTTTCAGAACGGGCCGTTCTGGGTCCAGGTGTTTTCAAAAAAATTCTCTTCCACGTGGCATCCACGTATGCATCTACGTGGCGTCCACGTGGCCAAAAATTAACACCGTTAAAGCAATTTGGACGGAAAGTCCCACATTGAAACCAATTAATTAATTTGGCACTAAATTGAAACCAATTAATTAGTTTGAGACCAAATTGAGACCAAAAATTAATGAGGGACTAAATTGAAACAAAAAAAGATTATAAGGGACCAAAATAGGTTTTTAGCCAATAAAATTTCTAACAATCTTCCACTTGGGCTTCATATTCATTTAAATATTTATATCACAAAATTCTTTAGGCGCACAACTGTAAGCTATTTACTTTTAGACTCCCTTTAAACAATCTGGGTCATCTCATACAACAACAGGGAACCACTGTAGCTTTCATCATTATCTAATGTGACTAAACCACAATGATCACAACAATTGTATGCACTCAATGACATAGATCAAATATGGATAAGTGGCATGGAAATTACATGCAACGTGATCTCAGTCATGTCGACTTCCAACTAGTCCAAACTTTATTCTTTATAGCAATCCATTCAAAATGCAACATATATATGTTGCACAAAAACAAGCACAAAATAAAATTATGAACATCAACTTTATTTTTGTAGAAAATCCAAATAATACAAATATTTGAAAAAATTAAAAATAAAGAAAACATAAAACATAAATAAGACTCCAACTAAACTAGGGTACTATAAGGAATTACACTCATATGAGCAGTGTGCTCATGAAAGACTTTAGGCACCAAACCCTTAGTAAGTGGATCAGCTAGCATAAAATTAGTCTCTATATGTTCTATAGAAATTTTCTTATTCTGAACTCTTTCCTTACAACCAAAAACTTTATATGAATGAATTTTGATGGTTGTACTCGTATTGTTATTGGAATAAAGAACTGCAGAGTTATTATCACAATAGATTTTCAATGGCCTTTCAATGCCATCAACCACACGTAAATTAGTGATAAAATTTCGCAGCTATATCCCATGGTTAGATAACTCCTTCAACCAACATAAAGATGTATCCAGATGTGGAGCGTTTCCTGTCTTGACATCTAGCAAAGAGTCTGAGTACCCAACGATCTCTAAACTGTTAGACTTCTGATAAGTGAACATATATCCTTTTGTTCTCTTTAAATAGCGCATTACATGCTTTACTGCCTTCCGTTGCTGTATCCCAAGATTACTTAAGTATCTTCCTGAAACTCCCACTACAAATGCAATATCAGGACGAGTATAAACTTGAGTGTACATTAGACTTCCCACAGCTGAAGCATAGGAAACCTTTTGCATCTCATTTCTTTCAAGGTCATTATTAGGGCACTATTTGAGGTTAAATTTGTCTCCCTTGGCTATAGGGGTATCTCCTGGTTTATTATCTTTCATGCTAAATCTATCTAAAACTTTATCGATATACCTCTCTTGTGATAACCTTATGATACCATGAGAATGATCTCTTAGTATCTTAATACCTAATACAAAAGAGGCTTCACCAAGATCTTTTATTTCAAAGTTCTTTGTCAAAAATCTCTTGGTTTCAAACAATAATGCTATATCGCTGCTAGCAAGCAATATATCATCGACATATAACACCAAGAATATATATTTACTCCCACTAAACTTATGATGAACACAATCATCAACTATATTTGCCTCAAAACTGTATGAGGTAATAACTTGATGGAACTTGTGATACCATTGACGGGAAGCTTGTTTGAGACCATAAATGGATTTCTTTAGTTTGAATACCATAGACTTTGAGTCACCAGACACAAAATTTTCTAGTTGCATCATATAAATTGTTTCTTCAATGTCACCATTTAGAAATGCAGTTTTAACATCCATTTGATGGAGCTCTAAATCATAATGAGCTACGAGTTCCATTATTATTCTAAAAGAATCCTTTGAAGAAACCCGAGAAAATGTTTCTCTATAATCAATGCCTTCCTTTTGAGTAAAACCTTTAGCAACTAAACGAACCTTATATCTCTCGATATTACCTTTTTAATCCCTCTTGGTTTTAAATATCCATTTACAACCAATAGGTTTCACACCTTCAGGTAATTCAACGAGATCCCAAACATCATTATCTTGCATAGATTTTATCTCATCCTTCATGGCATCAATCCATTTTTGAGAGTTAGAACTGTGCATAGCTTGACAAAAGTTGATTAGATCATCCTCTGTTAAACCAATGCCATCCTCATGTTCTTGGAGAAACACAATGTGATCATCTAGAATTGTACTTCTCCTTTCTCTAGTGGATCTCCTTAATGGCACTTCTTGGCTTGTTGAGCTTGCTTTATGAGTATTTGAGGGAGAACCTCAATATTGTCTTGTGCTGGGACAATGTCAGGAATAACTCCATGATTTTTACCTATTATTGGGATAGGTATTGGAATATTAATAGGCACGAGGACTTGATCACTATCAATGACACGTTCTTCCTCAAAGACAACATTTCTTATGTTCTCTTCCTTCCCAAACTCAACATCCTCAAGGAATCTCACATTCCCCATCTCAAAGAATGATTTAGTAGTGGGATTGTAAAATTTATAGCCCCGAGAGTGTTCAGGATAACCAACAAAATAACAGCTAATAGTCCTTGATTCTAGCTTGCTTTCATGTGGCCTATAAGGACGCGTTTCAGCTGGACAACCCCAAATGTGTAAATGCTTTAAACTTGGTCTTTTACCAGTCCATAGCTCATAAGGAGTTTTGTTAAATGCTTTACGTGGTACCCTATTTAGACATAAACTACAGTCTTAAGCGCCTCTCTCCACAATGACTTTGGTAAAGAAGAATGACTAATCATACTTCTCACCATATCCTTAAGAGTCCTGTTTTTACGTTCTCCAACATCGTTCATGCTTGGTTTCCTAGGCATAGTATACTTAGGAACGATGCCACATTCCCTTAGGAAAAGTGCAAAAGGCCTCGGATGTTGTTCACCTGATCCATCATATCTACCGTAATATTAACCACCACAATCCGATTTGATGGCATTAATTTTCTTTCCAAGTTGAAACTCAACTTCAACTTTAAAAGATTTAAAAACGTCTAGGGATTGGGACTTCTCATGAATTAAAAATAGGTAGTGCTCCAGTGCCTTTGCCCAATACAGAGGTTCAACTAGTGGGGCAGGCAACCGGCACATTCTTAGCTTGGCCAAAGCGTTTGGTCATGTCGCTTTCAGCACGGGCAAAGGTAATACTATTATTACTCTTTTATATTCTTATAATTCTATTATTGTTTAACTAATTTTGATTATTTCTTTAGGATTTTATCAATCGTGGTAAGGAGGTCATGAGAGAACCTCATGTTGATCATGCTAATATCGCAGAAGCTGAGGATGATC